GGTGGGAGCGGAGGGACCGCCAGGCTTCGCTGCTGTCCCTGGGGGCCCTCCCCTCTCCCCGGGGCTCCCGGGCTGGGAGGACGCAAATCTTCCACCCTGCCATGAAATCCTATTTCAGAAAGATTTTAGCTTTTCCCATGACCCTGGGAGGAAGGTCTGGGCCAGTTTTAAACACAAGTCTAGAAATAGCCAAAATGTGCGTACTGCTTGCTTTCTGACAGCTGGGCAGGAGGGGAGGAGGTGACGGGGGAGGTTTAGGCTATAAAAGCAGCCCGGCCGCGGCGGCAGCTCTGCCGGGGCCGAGTGCCGGGCAGGGGGGCTGCTCCCTGCTTTCCCTTGGGTCTCATCCTTCCCTGCTGCAGGATGCCTCCTGCGAAGAGGAGGCATTTGCAGAACGCGACATTTGCTCCTCTGCAGCGCCCAGCGCAGGACGGGGCTTGCAGGTGTCTGTGCCCCAAGGAGAGCCAGCCGAGCGCTTGTCTTAAAGGTTTTGAGCCCTATGGCAGATGTAGAAGTCCCACGACTGACCGCGCATCGCGCCCTTGCGATAGGTTTTTCTACAGGGGTTGTGGCACAACGCATTTTCATAGACCAAACGCAGGCGGGGATGAGGTCCCGGCGTGATACGTGTCCCTCGCCTTTCCTCCCCGCCGCGCTCCCCTTTGGTACTTTACTGTGAATCTCGCTCCTTTTCTAAAGCGACAACCATTTTGTACCGACCCAAGATACTGTGTGGTGGGAGGGGGGTCTCCCCGCGCGCGGGGCACCCCGGCATGTCACGACGAGTTTTCTTCCTGGAGTTTCTTCCCGGTGAATCACTGCAGCTGTGTTACCGCTCGAAAGATGTAAATAAAGTTTCTTCTCCTGCTTATCCCCGCGCTGGCAGCGCCTGCGTGTGAGTTATACCCGATCGCCGCTGAAAACCAGGCTCCGCACGAGCCCTTGCCCTGCGCCGAGGCCGCGGGACGTGCCTGCAGGTAGCACGTCATTTTTGACCCGGCGTTTCTTTGTAGGGGCCGAGGACGGGGCGGGGGGAGGAAGGAGAGGAATCAGACCATCGCCACTGGAAGGCAGCAGAAAGTCCCCCAGTAGAATGAGTCCCCCAGGTTTTGGGCACGTTCAGGTCCTGTCTTACAACTCCTTTATTTGATACATCCAAAATATCAGTTGACAAGCCAGTTCTGACCGTGTGGATGAAGCCAGTTGCTCCTGCCCTCCCGTCCTTTTTGCACGTGAAGTGGTTTTTATTCTCCTGTCTAGCTTCCCCACGCGGCACGGCGAGGCTCTGGCTATTGCCTGTGCCCCACATCATCCGTTACGTGCATTTTGGTAAAGGGAATTAAAAGCTGTAAACTGAGGTGCTTCCACTCGCCACTACTGGCTTGCAAATACAATAATTATTTCCTTTTTTCTTTAATTCCAAAACAGTAGCTCTTGGGGCCCTTGGTCCCCTATTTGGCATAAGCAAGGACTCTGAAATTATTAGGGGGGAATTAAAAAAAAGGGTGATAAGCGGTGAAACTGCTGCCGAGAGGTGAGAAAGCAGAGGCACGGCTGCGGTTTAGCTTTGGCGTCTGGGGGCGAAGGAGCCGAACCCATCGGGTGATGCCAGGGTTCGGGGTCCCAGCAATCCGGAGGCAGAGAAGGGGTGTATTGCCTCCGTGCAATTCCGTCTGAGGGCGCAAGGGCAGGTAAATGTGAGGAGAAAAAGAGCTACGTAAGCTAGAAAACGAACTCAGTTTGAAAAACCAAAGTTTGGAGGTCAAAAAGCAGAGGAATACGTTGAGGGGTGCCCAAATCAAGCCGTGACCAAAGCCTTGGCTTCCCCGCGGGCCGTCGGGGGGGAAGCCGTCACAGGGGACGCGCAGCCGAAGGGGGGGACGCAGGCACAGCACCCCGGCACCCGCAAAGCCGCATCTGCCTGCGGGGCTGCCCAGTACTTCTTTGAATTTCAGGACAACGCTGAGAGCATTAAAATTCCCACCTTTCTCTTACATTTGTGTATATTGTGCAATAGCGGTCCCTTCGTGCCAGGTCTGTAGTATGTTATTCTTCCTTTGCCTCCTGCGCTCCCGGCTGCTGATTCACAGCCCAGTTATTTTCACTTGTCCTTTCGCGTCTCTGCCCCGGGGACCAGTGCGGGCTCTGTCGTTTCCCCGTCAAAGCTTCTGGGATGCTCCGATGCGGTGGGGATGGGGGATACCCAAGGAAGATAACTGGAATTACCGACGCCTGCTTGGAAGAACCGGCACTGATGA